GTCGGTCAGAAGAGATGTTTTACACTCAATTTTCTGCGGGTGGGAGACTCCCTGTCTAGACCTATTTACCACATGGAAGAAGAATTGCAAAGACTTCCGCTTCTTCCAGAATCGCAGTCCAGGTTCCACAGTGAATGCATTTGCAATCCATTGGGGGAGGAGGCAACTATTGTATGTATTTCCCCCAATCCTCCTACTGCATCAGGTTCTGCTCAAGGCACACCTGGACAAGGCGTGCATGATCCTACTTGTGCCGGCATGGCCATGTCAGAATTGCTTCTCCATCCTTCTCACCCTGTCAGTGGAGGCCCCAATACCCTTTCCCCTGTACCCAGACCTCCTCGTACAACACCAGGGGCATCTCAGACACCCAGACCTGCACTCACTCAATCTCATGGCATGGAAGCTGGATGGCTCAATCCATTAGAGCTTCAATGCACAACCCAAGTTTGGGAAGTTCTTTTGAGAAGCAGAAAACCCTCTACTAGGAGAGCGTGCTTGGCCAAGTGGAGGGGATTTTCCTTCTGGTACACAGAGCAGGATGCTTCCCCAAGGAAGGCACCCATTCCAGTGGTACTTGATTACCTGTTGCACTTATGAATACAGGGCCTACCACCCTCCTCTGTTAAGGTCCATTTAGTGTCTGTGTCCGCTTTCCACCGAGAGTGCTCCCAATGTTCCCTTTTTTTCACCCAATGGTAACCCATTTTAGGAAAAGGCTGGAAGGGTTGTAGCCATACTCACCTGTATCCGCATGAGAGATTAACTTAGTGCTCAATTTATGGGACCCTCTTTGAATCAATGGCTGAGTGTTCATTGCTTAGTCTGTCCATGAAGGTGGCTTTCCTGGTGGCCATCATGTTGGCAAAGAGGGTATCCAAACTATGAGCTCTTTGATCGGAGCCCCCATACACGGTGTTCCACAAGGACCAAGTGCAGCTGACCTTTTTACCAAAGGTGGTCTCCCAATTCCACCTTGGTCAAGGTATCTTCTTCTCGGTTTTCTACCCAAAACTGCACTCTAGCACTAGGCAATGGGTGTTACACACATTAGATGTGAGAAGGACCCTAGCTTTCTACATAGCCCGCATGAGACCATTTAAAAAAAATGCACTCAGTTCGTAGCAATAGCAGAGCGGATGAAAAGAGATCTAGTCTCCGCGAAGTGTATATCTTCATGGATAGTATGGTGCATACACACCTGGTATGATCTGGCAGGGGTGGTGCCCTCTCCAGTGATGGATCATTGGACTAGGGCACATGCCTCGTCCACTGCGTTTGTAGCACAGGTTCCACTCCAAGAAATATGTAGGGTGGCTGTGTGGTCCTCCATACATACATACATTGATGGCACACTATGCCATTGATAGGCTGTCTAGGGAGGATGCAGCTGTCGGTAGAGCAGTGCTCCATCTGTGATTCCTAACTAACCTCACCTCAATGGGGTAGTGGCTTGGGAGTCACCTGTTTGCAATCGCTGTGAACTAGTACTCAAAGAAGAAAAGACTGTTTCCTGTTCTTGTAACTGGTGTTCTTCGAGATGTGTTGTTCATGTCCATTCCAATACCCACCCTCCTTCCCCACTGTTGAAACCGAGGGAGGGATAGGGTCAGCGGTAGTATAAAAGCACTGATAGTGGTATAAAACCACTCTAGGCATATCCACAGCTTACTCTACGGGAGCTGCTAAGGGAAAAATTTTCCAGTGTTCATACACATGGTGCACATACACCTGATTGGAATGGACGTGAGCAACACATCTTGAACACCAGTTAGGAGAACAGGTAACTGTTTCTTTTGTAATCCAATTCCCCCTTTTTTTTTTTTTGAACAGCTGTGGATGTGACCAAAGGAGTTATTTTTAAAAAGTTGCTGAGTGAAAGCATGGCTGGAAAAGGACAGCATCATTTTTTTTTTTTTTTTTTTGCTTTTTGGCAGGATGGGCAGAGGACAAGTTGACTAGATGTGGCAGATGACTAGATGTAATAACTTAATATATCTGATGGGTTCTCTTGATTCGTGTTCCTCCTCTTATATTTCAGATATTGTAAAAGGTGAAAGGATTATACCAGTTTTAGATGAACCACCAAATCCCACAAATGTGGAGGAGAGTTTGCAAAGAATTAAAGTTAATGACTCTCGCCTTGGTGAAGTTAATCTGAACAATATCAAGGTAACTGTTGGGAAACTACAATAAGTGCATTGTTTTTCTCACCTAAAAATAACTTTTCAGTGTGTCTTTTGTACAGGTTAAACCTCTGTGGTCTGGCAACATCAGTTGTCTGGCAAGACCACGGATGTCGCTAGACTAGAGAGTCCCAGTCATAGAAGTTCCTGGCAGCTGGGAGCTCAGCCGGCAGGCAGCCTGGAGGGAGGAAACCCACCCAGGCAGCGGCTAGCAGCCAGAGCAGGGCCAGGCAGGGAGCTCCACCAGCTGGGGGGACAGAGCCCCTGTAAGGTGGGGGACATGGATTCGCTGCCAGACGGGGGCAGAGAAGACCCTGCCAGCTGGGAGCGTGGAGCTACCACTGGCCAGACCCTGCTGTCTGGGGGAGTGGAGCCATCACTGGCATGGGGGCAAGGAAGCCTCTGTCAGTTGGGAGTGCAGAACTGCTGCCAGCCAGGGGCAGGGAGACCCTGCAGCCAGAGAAGCAGAGCCCACTGGCTGCTGGAGGAAGGGAACCCCATGGACCAGAGCGAGGCGGCAGCTGAGAAGCCCCACTTTTTACAGATAACTATTCTAGTCTAAATCTAATGTGGCACAGGTTTGAGTACAGTAAAGACATTGTATAGGATAGGTGATTTGAACAGACAGAGTCGAGGATACAGTTTTGCCCTTCATCCACATCCAACCCTGTGCTGTGGGACTTGGTTATTGATATCAGTAAGGTAGACCTGGTATCCCATTATATTTCTATGTAGAATAGGGAGGAGCTTAGTAGAGAAAAAATCACTATAATGTATAAAGTGTAATGTTCAAAAAGTGCACATTTCATCTTTAATTCAAGAACATCCCAATTCCAACACTGAAAGAATTTGCCAAGGCTTTGGAAACCAACACTCATGTGAAGAATTTCAGCCTTGCAGCCACTAGAAGTAATGACCCTGTTGCTGTTGTAAGTAAGCTCCTCTTTTGGGTTTGGAAGTGGGTTAATTTGAACTGAAAGCTGTTTAAACACCCTTGTAATCCAGATCATGAAAACAGGATGTAAGGGTTAAAAATGAAGTTAAAGAAGCTTTCTGAAAACACTTACTGGAGGACAAGGTGGGTGAGGCAATATATTTTATTGGACCAACTTCTTTAAAAGATAATGCCTCACCCACCTTGCCTCTCTAATATCCTGGACAGACCTAGCTACAGTAACACTGTTTTAAAACTACTAGGTGAATGGGAAGTGGTTCTTCAACTATTTCATTTTAGACCACTTTGAGAGAGAAAGCACGCCTCATGGAGACCTCCTCCCTTCCAAAAAAAAAAGTCTACTGCTGAATAGTTGTCAGTTTCATTCCATCAGTTTCATTTCCTGTATATACCACAGGTTCAAGAACCATTTTGTTAAGATGTCTTAGTTCAGGACAACTATACTTTTCCTTGGTCCACCAAGAACTCCCACTCTACGCTTCAGGTTGGCTGCCATCAATCTTGCATTTTCTTCAGGCACTAATAATAAAGTAATTATCCACAGTTATAAGGTACCATACAGCACTTCCAATGCAAGCCTTTTATTTTTAAGGTAAAAACAGTACAGAAAAAAATGTTAAAAAAAAAATCTGTAGGTAAGCTTACCAAGATCATTCCCTCCAACATGGCCTTTTGTAGGAGCAGTTCTTCAGAAATTCAACAAAGGGGTTTCCTTGTGGTTTCAAAGTTCATCACAGCTTCAACTCAGAACAAGCATACAAGTCTTATGGGGCCCCAGTCAGCCCAGTCATTCCAGCTCTTCACTAAGGATTTGGGACCCTCATGGACCAAGCAGTTCTGTCCGTTTACTGGACCAAGAAAGCCTGTCCTTGCTATTTGTCCAAATCCTCTTTTTTTGTGTGTGGTCTATCCAGTCCCTGGACAATCCAGTTTGAACTAGTATATGCCTATTTCTGGGAGGAGGTAGCTTCAAAGGACTGATAACTGGAGGGATTACATTAGCACCCCTTCTTAGAGGAATTGCATACAATTACATCATAACATACACATCTGCATTTTTAATACAATGGGCTCCAAAGCTCCTAATACACGAAGGTTTAACTTAATGTAATGTTTTGACCTAAATGAAATTCTGTTCCAATTTTTTCTACTTGAAATGTTGTCAAAATAGATGCATTCCTATGGAAAGTTTAATTTTGACAAAATGGCATTTTCCAACCAGCCATCATTTTGTGTACTTCATTGACAGTTGGTGGCTAAAAGCAAGTCTCTTGTATTTTACTGTCTGATCAAATGGACAGAAATTATTGGTATTTTGGAAGTCAAATCTGGCTATACATCACCGAAATCTAATTTCACAGGCAAACAAGAAGTCAGTTAGTTACCTTTTTAATTTTTACTATTGTATGCTGTGAAGGGTTTTCTGCAAAGGCTTATAAAGTGGATTTGGGCCAGTGTGCTAATTAAAGACAATTTACATTCTATGAAGGTTTTTAGTTTGCAGCAATGTGAGACGCAGGCAGGTTCCTAATTGTGTACTATAGAAATGAAACTTTTTTGCATTAGAAAAGTCTGTCAAATTACATTAAGCATCTATAAAGTGTTGCCAATTTTGGGCCACATTCACAGATGTTATAAATTTGGTAGAGCGCTGTCTGGTCCTGTTTAAGTTTATGGTAGTATAATTTGCTCTTTCATTTTAATTATTTTTTTCCTGATTTTCAAGGCTTTTGCAGACATGCTGAGAGTGAACAAAACATTGAAAAGTCTAAATATAGAATCCAATTTCATCACCGGAGTTGGCATTCTGACAATGATCGATGCTCTAAAAGAGAATGAAACCCTAACAGAGGTCAAAATCGATAACCAGGTGAGGCTATAATAGAATTAAAGCGGAATTACTGTATTCTCATTCTAACTAATCGAACAAACAGATCCACCTTTGAGAAAACAGTTGCTGATTAGTGACAATTTCAAAAATAATAAAAACAAACCAATTTTGTACCTAAATAAATTTGAATGTTAATCTTTTCCCAATCTTTCCTATCCTGGTCACTTACTTCCATTAAAAAAAAAAGCAGACAAAATGCCTCTTGGGACATGATGGGCTGCTTTTTTTGTCACTTATTCATTATTTTTTGTCATTCAGATAATTTCCCCAGCAAGCAGGAAGAGATGAACTCACGAAAAATAAATCTTCCATTGCTATTTAGTGCATATAATGATAAAGGATGGGGAAAGAGGAAAAATAGAATGTAGACATTAATTTATGTACAATTTTTAAAAAACTGGAGGTCAGGGCTAGCTAGATAGAAATCTCCCTGATCACCCAAAATAAAATCAGGAGGTCAGGGCTAGCTAGCTAGAAATCTCCCTGATCACCCAAAATAAAAAGATTAAAGGGAGGCGGGGAATTAGCAATACTTAAAGTAGCTGAGAGATGCTTTTTAAACATAGATGAAATGGAAGAAGTCTGGCATGATCATGGCACACAGCTTCCCTTTCTACATTCCAGTGGGGCTGGTCAAGGTACTTCAGATGGCCATCTCACTGGAGCCAAAGCCTGTTTTTTAACATGTATTAACTGGTCAGGGTAAACACTAGAGGCTGGAGTAGTTTGAATCTGTGGTTTTCTCTGACCAGCTAAGACTTGTTAAAGTGGTTTTTCTTTCTGTGTGTGTTTTTTTTTTTTTTTTAAACCAGACCTTTTTATCCTCCTCCGAGAGGTCCTTGGATATCAGAGCAAGAGATGGGGCTTATTCCTTTTCTGAGGCACAATTTCCTAGGAACTCTTAACCTCTCCAAAACAGGTTACCCAAGAAGGTTCTGGAATCCCTATCATTGGTAATCTTTTAAGAACAGGTTAGATAGAATAGTAATGTATCTGTGTTAGTCTGGTCTAGCTGAAACAAAAAACAGGAATATGTAGCACTTTAAAGACTAACAAGATGGTTTATTAGGTGATGAGCTTTCGTGGGCCAGACCCACTTCCTCAGATTAAATTGTGGAAGAAAATTGGCATGACCATATGTACCAAAGGATACAATCAAAAAAATGAACACACATGAAAAGAACAAATCAAATTTCAGAACAGAAGGGGGATGAGGCGGGGAGGTAAATGTCTGTGAGCTAATGATATTAGAGGTGATAATTGGGGAAGCTATCTTTGTAATGGGTAAGGTAATTAGCGTCCTTGTCAAGACCTATGTGTAAAGTGTCAAATTTAAGCATGAATGACAGTTCAGAGAATCCCTAGGGTTGCCTTATGACTGGTAGACCAGTACTTGGTGCCTTCTGCCTTTTTTTTTCTCTCCCTCAACAAACAATCTGGGAACCCTATGTGGTCCTGAAAGCTTATCGGTTTTCATTTGTGTGGCCCTCAGTAGGCTTCAAGTTTGACATCCCTGGACTAGATGATCTGTTGAGGCCTCTTCTGGCTTTACATGTCTATGTTTTCTGTATTGCTATTGTTCTATTCATTTAAGAATATACTTCCTTTTCAGGTAACTGCTGAGCTTGACATCCTCAAGTGAGGATCATGGAAAATTGTGGTTAACTGCCCTGTAGATTCCATTGCTTTGAATAAAAAGAACCAAATATTTTTAAATATTTTAGTTTAGAATGTGTTGATGCACTTGTAAACAAGCTTGTATAACTAAGAAGCAATATAAAGACTTTAACCATGAAATCTATTCTTCAGTTCCTATATGAAGAGAGTTTTAGTCCAGAACTGTCCATGTGCCTACGCGGTCTTATAATTTAAATGTTATTACAGCAGAAAAACATAATTTGATATATGCCTCTTTATTTTCATTAAGATGCAAAAACAAAGTCTTTTTTGCTTCTTAAAATTTTGTTGGCATTCTTTCTTGCCAGATTTGCTTAGCATTCTACATAAACAATGAGAGATTCTGACAGAATTTGTTAAATATTGTTAATAATTATGCTCTTACTCAGTGGTGGCAAAGGGAGAAAACTTGCTTTTAATGGGTGAGACTATATAAAACCCTTTAACTGAATTTTCATGCTGATTTAAGTAAGGGATTTTTTAATGTTCCAGTTTACCTTTAAAATGTTAGTCCAGCAGGTCCAGAAATGTCTCTGGCCATTAGTATCAAGCAGACTTGATAGTATTCTGGGGCTGTCCTATTTGCTGTGCTCTAGGATGCACAGTACCTTTTAGGAAACCCAAGAGTGTGGGGAAACTTGCAAGAGTGCTACCATTAGAGACATCAGATAGGCCACACACAATAAGATATACAGGGAACCAACAATGGGGAGGAGGAAAAAAGCATATAACTGAAAGGTATGAAGATGGGTGTTTCAAAGGTTCAATATAATATTCCGGTAGGTAACCACGTGACATTGGTGCCAAGTTAATTTTTGATGATTGGTGCTTTTAAAATAGAAACCAACCAGTACTCTGAATTTGTCATGTCTTTCAAATCAGTGTTGTAATGTTTGTTAACAGAGGCAGCAGTTGGGAACAGCTGTAGAAATGGAAATTGCCAAAATGCTTGAGGAGAACACAAATATCCTTAAATTTGGATACCATTTCACACAACAGGGACCACGAACCAGGGCAGCTGCAGCTATCACAAAAAACAATGATTTGGGTAAGACCTCTCTGTAGACTGTTCAATGGCACAGCTAATGTTTTTGCTTTGTGTTTTAATTGTGAGATGAAACATGATTAGTGCTCTTTCAGTTTTCTCCTTTACATGAGTCCTATTCTACTTTTTTTCCCCTCTTTTAATTTCCTTCTTTTATTCAATTTTCACAGATTTTTCCATGTTGCCAAGCTAGAGCCTAGAATTCTTCAGTACCCTTTAAAATAGATGTTGAGAACCTGCAACCCGCTGCTTCATTTCATCTGGCATGCAGCATATCTCCCCACGGTGGGCTGGAAGTCCCAAGCCTTTTTCCCCTCTCACCCATCCCCGGCTGGAGCAGTGAGTGCTTGCTCATCAGCATGTCCCTGAAGGCCCCCAGGCAGAAGGGTAATCAGGGAAATGCCATGTGCTGCTCCCCACTCCCAGACTGGCTCTGCAGCTTCCATTTACTGGGAATTACAGCCAATAGGATCTGTGGGGGCAGTGCTTGTTGGTTATGCGCAGCTTGCCTATGAGCCTGACCTGGCAGATGCTTCTGGGAGCAGAGCAGAAGCAGGAAAGGTGGGGAGCTTGCCTAGCCTTGCTGTGTCATTGACCAGTAGACATCTGAGGTAAGCATCACCTTCCTGCTTCTTAATCCCCTGCTTCAGGTTGGAACCCCCTCGCAAGCTCAATTCCCTTCCAGATCCTGCACCCTCACCCCAACCCTGAGCCCCTTTCTGAACCCAAACCCCCTCCCAGAGCCCACACCCCATGACATACCCCAGTCCTGAGCCTGTTCTACACTCCAAACCCCTGGACCTCAGCCAAGAGCCCCTTCTTGCACCCTGAACCCCTCATTTCAACCCCTGCCCCAGAGCCCATAATGCCAGCCCAGAGCCCTCATGCACTCCTGCACCTTCCACCCCTCATTTCTGGCCCCAAACCAGAATCTAGGGAGAAGCCCCAATATGGTGCACACTCTCCCCCACAGGTCTCTATGTGGCCCATGACGTACGTGTACGTGTGTGTGTGTGTGTGTGTGTATATCCATCCCTGATAGGGGGGGAAAAAAGGATCCTACCACTCCCCTGCTCTAAAACTAGAAAGAATAATAAAGAGATGGGAAATAACGAGCAGACTATGCCTAATAAGTTTCAATATAGATCTGGCTTTGACTTGCATAAGATTCAGTATTTCTTTTAAAAGGATACATTAAAATTATGAATTTTTAAAATAGTCAAATTACCTTGTCTCTTAGTAGATGTTAATTCCCGGATTCCAAAAGGATTAAGAATATTTGGTGGTTTTGCTTTGATGTACAGAAAGGAAAAATCTACCAGAATCTTGTTACTGTATCATCCCAATCAATTGACTTGATATAATGGATAGTTGCTTAAATTCAAGTGAAGGGCATATCCCTTATCTTGCAGCCAGTGTGAGATGGGAGGCCAGCCAGTCCACCTGCTGATTAGTACTCCAATGGAGAGACTAAATTAATCCACACTGCCAGTACACAGTACCACAGATGCAGCTAACTGAAATAATGAGGCAACTTGAAGCCTAGTTATGAGTGTAACTAGAAGATTTACTCAGCGTTGCTTGGGTCCTTAACTCAAATACGATTTTTGTTTTTCTTCATATAAATCATTGTTCTGGGATTGGGGCTTGGGACGAGGGTTCAGCACGTAGGCTGCCCTGGGAAGAGAGGATTGCCCGAGCTCTGTCACCACAGCAGCTTGGGATCAGATGCAGCTGCAGTGGGCACAGCGCGGGCAGAGGTGTATGACCCCAGCTGGGTGACAGACAAACTTTGTGAAATATGTAGTAGATAGCTGTCCCTTTCTCCATCCTTGCCCCCTGCTGGCCCAGTGTGGTTATAGCTGTTCCAGTTCCCATCTCTGCCCCCCCACTCCAGTCATTTTACAGGCAGTCCCCGGGTTACGTACAAGATAGGGACTGTAGGTTTGTTCTTAAGTTGAATCTGTATGTAAGTCGGAACTGGCATCCAGATTCAGTTGCTGCTGAAACTGACCAGCGGCTGACTACAGGAAGCCCGAGGCAGAGTTGCCCTGCCCCGGGCTTCCTGGAATCAGCCGCTGGTCAGTTTCAACAGGCTGAATCTGGATGCCAGTTCTTACATACAGATTCAACTTAAGAACCCCAGGCGTCCCCAAGTCAGCTACTGCTGAAACTGATCAGCAGCTGATTCCAGGAAGCCCCGGGAGCTGGGGTGCTGCTGGGTTGCTCCAGTAGCGCCGCTCCTCCCCAGCAGACCAGGGAGACGTGGAGCAGCTTTTCTCGCCCCGGAGGATGGGGGCGGTGGGACTGCAGCGCATCTGGCGTCCCGCCGCTCCAGTCCTCCAGGGCGAGAAAAGCCCCGTTCGTAACTGCGGATCCGACATAAGTCTGCCTGTAGTTCATTAAGCCTTCAGCTAAATAACAATAGTTAATTTCTCGATATTAAACAGTTAGGTTTTTAAAGTTGGTTTTTTTCCCCTCACTATGTTGTTCCTTTTTCTGGTTACGCATAGATATACCCACTCTGTGGTGTAAGAGGGGCATCTCTTCAGGACTGGAAGCAAAGCAGGTGCTTGCCAGAATAGTTTCCAAGGGACCAAAGAAGCTTAGTGGATGGAACCTGTTGAAAGCAGAGGGCTGAGGTTTGAGCAGCTGTTGACAGGTCCAAAGGTTCTCATTGACGAAAGCTCTTTGTGGGGAAGATGAGAGCTGTGAAAATCCAGGGAGAGAGGAACAGGAGGAAAGAAATTGTCATTTGAAGGGAATAGGAAGCCACCTGACATACTACATAACTACCTCTGAAATGGCCTACATTTGAGAACAATTGACTCGATCTTTTCTCTTGCATCATCATATTTCAAGCACTTCTCTGCTTGTTGTGACCTTTCCTGTTTTGACCTGTTCTGATTTTAGCATTTAATTGCTGAAAATCTATTTCTATGTTTTTCTATTGATATCTTGCCTTTTTTTCTTGCTTTCTTAGTCTGGAGTATACGAGTAAAATTTTCTGCAAATGCCTTTTCATCTCTCCAGCCCTGACGCTACAGAGACAGGTTATTGTGAATACCCAGTTGGGTATTGAGCACTGAAATGGAAATGTTTAGTCTCGCATCACTGTCTTTGTACGTTTCTCCTGACAAATTGTTTACAACTTTTCTCCCCTTGCTTCTCTCATGCTGTCCTGCACCCCTGTACTTGTTTGCCCAAGACCCTGTGCCAGTTTATTTCTAACTGTGTGATTGGATTACAGTGAGAAGGCCCAGTAGATAAAGTATGAACCACTTTATCTACTTTTGCAATCAAACTTAAAAAAAAATTAGTGAGTGAGAGAGTCTAAGCATGTAACTGTTTAAAGATCTGTAGGTTACTACTCATTTGAGAAGTAACATTTTAGGCTTTGATGGTAGGTGTCTATAAGACTTGTCAACTCCAAATCAGAGCATCAGTGGAGTATCATTTCTAGCAGTGAAAAACAATTATCCCACTCTGATTGTACAAAATAGCATTAAAATTTTAAAGTCCGTTTATTTGAACAAAGCAGAAGACAGGCAACTTAATTTATGTAGAACTAACAGATACTTAATCACATGATATAGCAATATAAATTATAAATGTATTTAAACTACTGTTAATATTGGGTTTGTTTTTTGCAAATATATAGTAACTTCTAATTTAAAAAATGTGGAAACATCTTATCTAACTTGAGGCTTTTAAACTCGTAATCCACTTTCAAATTTCTGTATGTGCTCAGAAAAGAAGTTAATTTGCACGTGAAAGAGACCACAAGAAAAACTCATTATTTTACTTGTACATTAAACATGAAGTGTACTCCAGTCATTCAGTCACTATTACATATTCTTTTAATTGTAAACAGCATGTGAGTTTCAGTAACTTTATTCACCAATCTTTGGTTCATTCCTTCTGTAATTTAGTCTTTTAAGAGATCTGAAAATGTATTCATTCTAATAATAGAAGATTATCATATTATAATATTAACACATGTTCAGTGCAATTTTTTACTATTACTTAAAGTGTTCTGAAGCTTTTTGTATATTCCTAATTAACTATAATTAAGCACAGTGATAGAGAATGGTATATATGAAGTCAAGAATAACTGTTAAATCTGTTCACCAAATTTCAACTCATATGACATCATATATTCTTTAATTCTTGCCATATAAATCTTAAATTCTTCATGAGTACAGGCAGTCCCCGGGTTACGTACAAGATAAGGACTATAGGTTTGTTCTTAAGTTGAATTTGTACGTAACTCGGAACTGGCTCCAGATTCAGCCGCTGCTGCTGAAACTGACCAGGGGCTGACTACAGGAAGCCCAAGGCAGAGTTGCTCTGCCCCCAGCTTCCTGGAATCAGCCACTGATCAGTTTCAACAGCGGCTGATTCTGGAGCCTGGGACAGAACAGCTGGGGGC